CCAACGAAAAATCCGATCTTTTTTTCTCTTACAGCGTGAACCACATCGATTGCGCACTTTTTTCGCGCTCCTTCTGAATTGAAAATTCTATTAATTTTCTGCGCATTTTTCGTTACATCTTGCTTCTTACTTGCATTTCTCGTCTGCTACAAAATAGCGAAGAAATGATTCATAATAGTTTCTAAAAAGAGTTTGTTCAAGTGAAAAGAAAGTGTTCGTTTTTAGCGAACTGGCTTTTGTTAGTACGTAGTTGTAATTCGTCTTTTGTAACTTCCCCTTGCAGCAATAATCGATTTCCTCGATTTTTGACAGTGACTGCTATCTCTAAAAGTCTGTTTGCAAAATTAGGGACGTTGTGCACTCTTGCCTGCAACATACGGCTAAGTACTAATGTCCTAAGATTGCCCGTACAGTCGATGTGGGAATTTCATGTTACTGAGATTTTTCTAGATGCCAGTCGCAGTGTCGCCGTTGTACCGCCATTAAATAGTGACTATAAATAAATATTGATATATTTTTTACGTCCTAATGAAAGTGAATAGAAATTTCGGATCCAGTTACATGGAACTCTAATGGAGCAAGTGGTACGGGCAGGTTCCAGAATAAACGGGCTTTTTTGTGATGCCATCATCTGTGTGCATTTTGATGTAATCAGTTCGAAACGTTAAAAAAATCTCTTTTCATCATTTAAAAATTTGCAAGGCTGTCGATGACTTCTTCCTACAACGAATGCTTACAAGCACATTGGTGGGGAAGGCGTATTTTGATTTCAAAAGGCGCCCTTTCCGCTGGTTGAAAAATTGGCTGCGAATAATTATTCGTTTCCGAAAGGAGCCAGTTTTTAAACCGATTAGGTTTGTTTCACTCGCAAAGTGGTGTTCTCAAGCCTAAATGCTCTTCTTTTCAAAGCCACTACAGAACAAGGGAGCACTAATACCTTCTTTTTTAATTAATGACTACATAAGCCATTTTCTACAACCTCTATTCCTAACAAAAAGTGATGTGCTTTACTTCTCTCGCAGTATTGAATGCAGAGGGGGTTTCGAGCCAGCGACCCTTATGCTTACAACTGATTATGTGTTTTTACTCATATGCAAATTGCAAAAATGCATATTGCAAAGACTGTGTGTGTGTGTGTTCGTCTGTCCGGATAGTTCAACTTGGCAACCAAGCAAGCTCTGGTGCCATAATTTTGCTAGTGGGTTCCCCGGCCACGTACTAATCCACAACAACGGTACCAACCCTCATGCAAGTCTGGGCCCCGCGTACAAGAGAATGAAAGTTTTGGCGGAGGAATGGGAAAAGCTAGAAGGTTGAAATTTCGAGATTATATTCCCCGTCCACATAGAATTGAAAGGTTTCTAATTCAGCCCTCGGGTGTGCATGGCTCCCAAGTGCAGCCCCGTAAGGATTCCTGACGCGAAAATCGCTAACTTGGGAACCAGGAAAGCTGGGAGACTGAAATTTTAAAGAAATGTTCCAGGCACTTGAACAACTTAAAGTTATCTAATTCGGTCCCCAGGCATTCGAGACTCTCACAGATGGCCCCGTGAAAATTTTTGGCGGGAAACAGGAAAGCTGGGAGGCCGAAATTTTCAGAGAATGTTCCCAGCATAAATACAACATAAACCTGTCGAGTCCAGCTTCTAGCCGTACGTGGTTTTCACGTACGGCTGCGTGAGATTTTTTGGCAAGTGGGAGACTGAAATTTTCAGGGGATGTTCTCAGCCATGTATGACTTAAATTTATCAAATTCAGCCCCCAGACATGCGCGATTTTCGTGTACGGGCATTTAAATTTTTGGCGGGAAAATTACTCGTTGAACAGCTGAGATATTTTCAAATAAAAACGACCGCTAAACGGAAATTGCTTATTTCCTTTCATGCAAAGTTTACGATGATTTATGGTATTGAGCGCCCAAGGTAAGTGTGAAGAAACAACCATTCATAACCTAATTATTTCAAGTTTGGTACAAAAACGCATGATTGCATGGGCTCGCCTGGTGCGTTCCAGCCTGGGTTTTATCCTTTTATTGGTAATCGGCTGGTATTTTTTGCTTTTTTTTGAGCTGTGGTAGCAACGCTTCTTTTTTCCGTTTCAGGAAGCGCCTTTAGACTTCTTTTAACATATTACTACTCTTGTAAGGTT